TCAGAACTTCCCACTCCCATCTGTGTTTTTATGTTTTTGCGCTCATTTGCCCTGTTTAGTAAATCTGGCCCTTAATATAGAACCTTAAGTGTTCTGTCTGGCGCTTCATACATTTTCCAATAATGGGATTATTTTATGGATTTAGTTTTAATTAATTAAATTTCTTAATTTTTTATTTAAATGAATTGGAAATTAAAAAAATTTAATCGCACGTTAAACATGAAAGTATTATGCAATCGCTAAAGTCTCCTTATATAAAAACTTTTTGGAACCTCTTTGAAATTGAATCAAGAACCCTAGGATTCTATTTAGAACCCCATTGAACCTGTAGCATCGTGGTGATGACTTTTGCCCTGGCAAACTCCCCTCACATTTCCTTCTTCAAATGTAAAAAGCTAGTTTTGTGAAGTAAGGACTGTTTGATCCACTTGTTCAGTCTCCAAAGAATTCAACCTAGTTAATGTCTTTAAGATTTTCTGGTTTATAGAATGTGAAAAGCTTCTTATTGGCACAGCTGTAAATGTGCAGGCGTTCTGGGTTAGGAACAGAAAAGAAAGGATTATCCAGCCTTGTGGTGTCCCGGCCCCATTTCGACGAGCTTTAGAAGCGCCTTCACCCTCAGAAGGTGCATTGAAATAGAAGCATCTCTGTTTTCTTTAAGCATTTGGAGAAGCATGCTAAAAGGGATCTAATGAATCCACAAATAGGCATGTAAAACACATATATAATGCCATATTGCATAACGCATCTAAATGGGTGAATCTTATGATCCAGAGCAACTATGTTTCACCCCAAAAACCAAATGAAAGTCATTTTTAGGGTTTGGATACTACATGACATTTTTTTTAATGACAGTAAAATACAAACACTCCCAGTTCTCATTAATGTAATGCAAATTATCTCATTCTCATTACTGTAAGAAATAACTACAATAAATTAACTTCTTGTCATTATAATTATTGTTATGTATTCATTTATCCACTATATTTTATTTTATTTTGATATGAAATAAAGCACATTCCTCCCAGTTCTCATTACCGTAATGCAACTTATCTCATTCTCATTACTCGAATGTGGAAAAAAACCCCCATTAAATTATGAAGTATTTATGCATTGTAATATTTGTTGTACTGCCTTTAACGTCTGGTAATTTTATTCAAATAAAATATTTTTTGAAAAAACAACAACTTCTGAACCCGTTATGGTAATGAGAATTTGGGGTGAAAAAATGTGCTTAATAGGTATGAAAAATGTCACAATGCAAAACATTTTAATGGCTTATATATTAATTTAAGTATTATTTATTTAATTGCCTAAAGTAGTAGCAACTTCACTTGGCCGCTCGCTCTAACGTTAACCTAGATAAATGTGTGCTATTATTAAGCACATATCCAAGTGTTTGTGCAGAGTGTTGAAGCTAAAGGATTAGCCGCCGCAATCACTTGCATTTTTTCCTGATAACAGCGGAAAAACTTAAAATACTCCCATAATTTTTGGTCATACAGATGAGAGTAATAAATCATTCAAAACTGTAGAGGGTCTACTTTTATTTGTGTAAACCCGCAATAACAAAATGTTATATGCTCTTTCTGCCGTCTCGATCACCTTGAACTGGAGCGCGTCACAAAAATGAACCGAAACTAGGCTACTTGGGTCACAAACATGAGAAATATAGGCCTATCTATAGAAAGCTTGAAATGTCTACTTTTGAACGAACCAATTCAAATGGAAAACAAATCCATTGTGAAATGTAATGTAATCCGTATGAAAGGTGCATTTCTCTCTAAAGGCTCGTCGACTATACTGCGGAGATGGCGAGTCAGCGTCGTCAACTTCATCTTTGCAGCCGACACTGACTCAGAAAACACTAGTTTTATAAATAATTTAAATCCGACACATTTATAATCATCCGCTACTTTTGCTGGTGCTTTGTGACAAGCTATGCATTCGCTTGAGCGCGGAATAGGCATATTACGGCTATATTAAAGGTTTAGTATTCCTCCCCAGTATATATTTAAGTAATTAAATTAATATAAACATGCGATTAGTCGACTAATGGCTTGAATGAATTACTACTAGTCGACTAGAAAAAACTTTAGTCGGGGGTAGCCCTGGTATTTATGCATTGTAGTGTTTTTGTTGTACTGCCTTTAACATCATCTGATTTCCTGAAATATGATGAATTTTTAAAAATATGATGATAAACTTTTGGGCCCATTATGTTAATGAGAATTTAGGGCAATGAAATGTGCTTGTTTAACAATCGTGATGAAGTCATGATGTAAATAACTGGATTGGTGAAATGATTAAATTAATATTGTTATTATGATTTAAAAAAAATCTGAACTTGAAATGAGCTTTACCCAAATCACACAGTGTTCATAAGTTAAAAGTAGTTATACTAAAGCCTTTTTGAGTGTCTTTGCTTTGCCGTCCAGTTGTTTTAAATAGATCATCAGCTACACCTCACAGAGAGTTTGTGCTGATTTTCAGTCTTCAAGATGTTCACATGCAGCAGTCATTCCCTTCCACAGTTTCCACGCAGACCCTGCTTTATTTATAGACATCTTTATTATTTGGTGGCATGACAGCACGCCATTGGAGCGTCTTTTTCCCCCCTCCTCTTTCGCACCAAGGGTATCTGGCATTGTCGGAGCATTGTGTAAATTCACTACGAACGTTCAGCCTGTTTCCGCCCCCCTCCTTCACATTACCATGGCAACAGCCTGTTGCATAACTCCTAACCACAAAGTCTCGCCTGTCCATCTCCGTGGAAACCATTCCTCTCTCCCTTTTTCTTGCTGTCTTGCTATGTCTCTCCATCTCTGCTTCTCTCTCTCTCTTTTATGGTCTTTCTTAACCTCTGCGTAATTTCTCCACTTTCTGCCCTTTAGAGTGTGGTGTGTACAGTGCCAGCCAGATGCTCGATCCGTGAACTTTACACTTTTCAAGATCGAAATCTGCGTCAACAACAACAAAAAAAAACTCCAGACATATTGAGCCATGGTGTGAAAAATGCAAGTTTAAATACAGCCGTTCCTTCATAAATTGTGACCTGCTTGACCATGTTTCTGCTGTGCAATAGAAAATGGTGCAGATGTTGCATTATCGGTGCACCTGACACAGATTTAGCATTAACAATGTGTCAGCAGTACTGAGAGTTCAGAGAAACCATTTGAATCAGGTCATGGTTACGATTACGATAAAGATGAGATTAAATCTTCAATTTCTTTGCATTCATGAAGCCCATGTGAGAAGAAGAGTGACGCACGCAAAGCCATGTTTAGCTGAAGGTTAGGGGTGATTGATTGGAAAATGAATTATTTATTTATTTGAACTATTAGTAACTTTAAATAGCTGTAATAAATGGTTCTTTTATATGGTCTAATTAAAAAATCTTTGATTAAAAAAGTTTTTTTAAATAATTAAAATCCATCATTAATATTATCATCATTATTCTTTTTGAAAACTTTAGTTAGGTAACGTGTCACATTAAAACTGTCTTGAAAATGTTTTTTTTTTACTTTTTTGTTGAAAACTTCTCAAATGCTTAAAATATTAATATCCCTCATTACAAATATTATCCCTTTTGAAAACTGATTTAGTTAGTTTGGTAGTTAGTTAGTTAGTTAGTTAGTTGTTATTTAACTTAGTCAACTTCTCAAATGCTAACAATATTAATATCCATTAAAAATATTATTATTATTCCTTTTCGAAAACTTAGGAAAAAGTTATGTTTTTCTTTTATGTGAAGGTCACATTATGTTTTTGCAACTTCTTAAATGCTCAAAATATGAAAATGTGTCATTAGAATTATTTTACATTTTTAAAATGATAAATCTAAACAAAGTCTCTATCTGAATGTTTGGTTGATTTATCTATTAATTAAACTTTTTTTTTTTTTTTTTTACTGTTGTCATTTTTTTATACATATATGAAGGTCATAACCGTCTTGGAAGCTTTTTTTTTTTAAACCATGCTTTTGTTTTTGCTACTTCTGAAATGTTTAAAATATGAATCATTATAAAAAATATTTGTCCTTTAAAAAATCTATGATGAAATCTAAACAGAGTGAAAAAATAAGCCATTTTTATTTTGAAATATGTATTGCGTGAAAGTTATTTATATATATATTTTTTACACACGTTTTTGATCATTCTTCAGTCCTTCAAACATAACTTCCACCACGACCCTTTGTCCACATTTACATTGTGTAACTGTTTTAAAGAAACTTTTCTAAAAGTCCGCAGAAGTGCCCACAATTGAAAAGTCCGTCTACGTTCACATTGTCTTTTCCACTGTATTACACCTCTTATATTGTGTACTTGACACTTGGTGTCATATCTTTTGTGCAGTAGTCTTTAATTCTTTGATGAATGAGCTATTATGTTTTGTAACTAAAGCCGGATTCACACTGTACTATTTAGGCCACGATTTTGTCTGTCAGAGACAAATGTTGAGAATCCTAAAATATTCCCCGGATCCTAGGCCAAAATCTGAAGTCAAATTTAAATTTGACCTCTGATGAAATTCTGATGGCAGTGTCATAAGTTTTGACCCACAGTCCTGCATTGTGACTTCTCCCTAAGAAAACCGTCAAATCATAAACCAGAACCTGATGATGCAATTAGCGAGACAACAACAAACTTGCTCCACTTTGCTTTTTTTTCTTCTTCCATTTTTCTTTTCAAGACATGATTAAAATTAGTGCTAGAGATTGTTTTTGTTTGCAAGCCACCATTTCTATGCCGTATGTAAATGCAGCTCACATCACTGAAAGTGTCACGGATTGATGATGTAAAACTCTGTTTTTAACGCGTACAGTCTGACATTAATGACATCTGTGATCCTACAGTGTGACATGGCTTACAGCGGGGGGCATGTTCGTACAGTCTGACAAGCAACAGTCGTTAAGGACTATTATAAGTCGTACAGTGTGAACCCAGTTTAAGAAAAAAGCTGCTTGATCTGAAGATGTCTCCTCTTTTGCTTCTTTTCAGCTCAGCGTATGATCGTGATAATAAAGTGCGTGTGGCGATAAAGAAGATCAGTCCGTTTGAGCACCAGACGTACTGTCAGCGCACACTCCGTGAGATTAAAATCCTGCTCCGCTTCAAGCACGAGAACATCATCAGCATCAATGACATCATCCGCACACCCACCATCGACCAGATGAAAGACGTGTATCCTTTTTACTTTAACCTGGAAATAAACAACGTTTTAGGATTTTGAAACCACTTTGCAATGCAGCATGAGCAAAAAAAGAGCAGCTGACTGTACAAAGGAGCATTGTCACTAATTTACTTATTTGATTATTTACTTAGAAATGGTGCTAACACTTTACAATAAGGTTGCATTAGTTAACATTAGTCAACTACATTAGTCAAAATGAACTACCGGTAATAATAAACTGCACTTTTACAGCATTTATTAATCTTTGTTAATGTTAATATAGTTACATGAACAAACAATGAACAGCTGTATTTTTATTTACTAAAGTTAACAAAGATTAACAAACACAGTAACTAATGAATGCTAATGGTTTGTTCATGTTAGTTAATACATTAACAAATGAGACCTTATTGTAAAATGTTGGCAATATTAAAGTAAATAATCAAATAAGTAAATGTGACAATGAACATGTGGCTTCTTTGTCCAGTCAGCTGCTCTCTTTTTTGTTCATGCTGGAGAACATGATCTTTAGGTTTTGTTTATCAGTTCAAATGTTGCCATCATTAAAGCAAAAAGAGACATATTAAGATGTATTTAAATTCAAATTTATTAAATTTTTCAGTTCAACTTTTTAAATATACATGTTCAGGCTGAAAATACGGCCACTGGCACAAACAACGATCTTTTCCAGTTGTGTAGGCTGAGACAATGCAAAAATCTCTAGTAAAGAGTTCATTTAAGGCCCGAAATCAATAGTCGGTAGGCGTGTGGATAGTGAGAGTAGTTTTGTATGATCTAATCGCTGTGGTGTTTTTGTGTGATTCACATCATGCCAGAGCTGCTGTTGAAGGGAGTAGAAACACAAGATTTGAAAGACTACAATTTTTTTTCTTGTGCTTCTGTTTCCTGTTGAAATTAATACAGAACATATCAAAAGGCTTGTGCTTTTTGTTGTTGTTGTTTTAAATATCCAGGAGCTTTTAGTTTGTCAAAGCCTGAAATAAACAAAGATTTACTACTTCCCATTGTTAGTAGGCATGGGATTTGTGAGCTGTTTAACTAAATCTGATTCTGTTCTGTAGTGATTCCATTTACATGTTGAGGAATAAATCCTATATAAAAAAGGTCAAATTTTAGGATTAACATTGAGTTTAAAAGATAAAAAAAAAGAAAGTCTCTTATGCTCACCAAGGATGCATTTATTTGATCGAAAATAATATAGTAAAATATTATTACAATTTGAGTGTTTTATATTTTAACATAAGGATAATATATTTTACGAATATTAAAGGTGCTCTATGTAACTTTTCTACTAAAATGAATCCTTTTTTTATTGCCTGTGTGTGAAGGGGTTGTAATCACACATTAAAATGATCCACTTGTCGAGTTTTGCTATTACCTCTGAAGGCCAGTATTCCTATTTCTATGAAGTCTCCGGGTCGGATTTACCGCGAAATCCAACGGATGTGACGTGCATGCGCGCTCCCGAGCCTCTCTCCTTATATACAGTCTATTGTAGACGGTCAGGGAGTTACGTCCGGTTAAAGGCGCACGTTTTTCGGCTTATATCTCAGTCAATCTTTGATCAATATTCCCAAGACTCTAATCGTTCGTAGTGCTGGACGGGGCCTTTCGAACGAGCCCACCCCTGAGGTCCAACTCGCCCGGCTCCCCGAGTTATAGCCGTTCGAAATCGGGGGTCCCAGCGAACGGCGATCCGGTAGGGGGCATCCCCGAGGCCCGCCACTCTAGCGTTCGGGCAAGGGTTCCCCTGGGACCTCCTCCCCCGAATTTGAGCTCTCTGGGTCTTTGCGTTCCAGAGATACGAGCGATTTTCTTCTGAGATCGTGACGTCACCGGCGTCCGCAATTTTGCAGCGCGCCCGATGGTTTTCTGCTAATATCTCCGCGAAAACACCACCAAAAACTATGGAACTTATATGGTTCTTTTCAGCTCGACTAGATGGTCCCAACGAGCTCGGTGCTCACCGAATCCGTCTAGTATTCGCCGAGATATTTGCGTAATAGACGGTATTGTCTATGAGTTCGAGCACGAGCGCTCTTGTAAAATTTGGTTGCAATCTGAAACATCACCACTAGAGGCCAAAGTTACATAGAGCACCTTTAATATACAGTATTTTAAAATAAAATGTATTAATGTGATCAAAGCTGAATTTTCAGCATCATTACTCCAGTCTTTAGTGTCACATGACCCTTCAGAAATCATTATAATGATGATTTACTGCTCAAGAAACATTTCTTATTTTTATCAATGTTGAAATCAGTTGTGCTACTTAAAATATTTTTGTCTACTAAAATCTACTTTGATGAAGAACAAGAGAACAGCATTTATTTAAAACAGAAATCTTTTGTAACATTAAATGCATTTACTGTCACTTTTTTTTCATCAATTTAACGCATTCCTTAAATCTGTTCATTTGTTTAAAAAAAAAAGAAAATTACTGACCCCAAACTTTTAAAGAGTGGTGTAGATATCTGAAGGCTTATAGATATTGAATAAAACCCCCAAAACCCTTTTGAAAAACATTTAGATAGATGGGTCATTTCAGACTTAATCTGTAGAAGTGGTGTATTGTGAAAGTAAGAACATGAATTATTTTGAAATCTGATTTAAAGTACAAAAAGGTTCAGAAGATTCTCACTTTAAATGTAATGTGTTACTTCAACTGGCTGCCCATACTGAGATCTCCAGTCTAAGTGTGTGAATGTACCATAAACTTAAAAGCTTTTATCAGTTCTAATATGCAACCTTTTCTGAACCCCAAGCTTTTTGTTTGACCTTGACATTGACAAACCATAGCTACATTGTACAGGATCTGATGGAGACAGACTTATACAAGCTGTTGAAGACGCAGCACTTGAGCAATGACCACATCTGTTACTTCCTGTACCAGATCTTGCGTGGCCTGAAGTACATCCACTCGGCAAACGTTCTCCACCGAGACCTGAAGCCATCTAACCTTTTGCTCAACACTACTTGTGACCTCAAGGTGAAGCACAATGCGGTTCTAAGCCATCATGCCATTTTAAACACATTTAAAGGTTGTGTGCCATTTCTGCGTCACCAAATGGAATTAAACACGTTTTCAGAACGCCTGTCATTTGTACAAAAAAGCACATTTCCATTTTACTATTATTATTTTCTATAATGTTAAATATGAAGCTATTCCATTTTTAAAAAAACAGCTTGTCCATACAACATTTAAAAATGTAAATGGAATTAAATAAAATGATCAAATATTTGTATAATAAATATAAATAAAATTTGGATCATATATTTGTATAATACATTTTATGTTTATATGTAAAAAAAATAAAAAAGTTAGTCATTTTAGACTTTTCTGCGGTTTCAGACATAGCCGTATAGTATGAGAAAGTAATTTAACAAAGGAAAAATAACACCCTTAAACAGGGTTTGACTTTTTTGCTCACCAGCCACTGTGTCTAGTGGATTACAACGTTACTAGCCACTCAGCATTTTCACTGGCCACAATTTTGACATTATACCATGGGGAAAGATTGGCATATAGATATTTTTAACATTATCTCATAATTTGGCAGCAGGTATTTTAGGCGGCTGTCACTTTAAGACCCCGTTATACTGTTACACGTGCCTTTTCTTTCTCAACTGTTTCATTCACTTAAACATAACTGACTGTTTACGTGAATACTCGCCAAGCCCAGCTTTTCGACATTGTTTTGTGTGTGTATTTGACAGTTTAATCGCAATAAGCAGTGAAAACGAATTCAATTTAGTACTGAGACGTGGCTTTATGTGCCGCATTTTGTGTGAGCACAAAATCTGCGGGAATGAGTAAAATTATGCGTAATTTCATGGCGAAATTTAAGCCCTGTAACAGCAACAATATTCATCCAGAGCAAATTAAACGAGTGATTGAAGGGAGGCGGGTTTATGTGTCAATTCGCTGTCAGAGAGAATCATGAGAGGGCAAGAAAACTCGGCTGGTATTGGCATCAATTCTGCGGAAATTGAGTATTAAGTGTTTCAGATATATTTCAGTATCGAAAAAACGATATTTTTAAAATACTTGCACTTACTTTATTTCAGATGCCTTTTAAAAGACAACAATTGAAAAATGTACATATAATATGTAATCAGCTAAAGTGGCTAGTAGGAGTGACTGAGTTACACGCCACTGCTGAAATCCACCCGCATTTGGCATCAGCCCTGCCTTTAAACCTTTAACTCCATTGTCACCACATCATACCATTATTGCATTAAATTGAATTCACAGCAGGCTCCGCTTGGATATCGATGGATATTCACATATGTCTGTAACCTCTTTGTTATTGCTTATTTGATCTTAGATCTGTGATTTTGGGCTCGCCCGGGTGGCCGATCCAGACCATGACCACACCGGCTTCCTGACGGAGTACGTAGCTACACGTTGGTACCGCGCACCAGAGATTATGCTCAATTCTAAGGTGAGGTGTTGCCTCAAGCGTTTGTTTGGTTGCTCTGTGCGACCGTCAGTCAGGAGTTTGGTGTTCAGCCATTACATTTGTAAGACATTTAATTCAGGTTTCTGGCAATGTCTGTGTATTAATGACATGTTTGTATTTTATCTCCTGAAGTATTACTCAATGTTCAAATCCTTAGTTAGAAGACATATATACTATTATAAATTTTAAGTTGGCGTTTATCTTTATATTTTTAGTTTATTTTAATTTAGGTTTAATTTTTTGTAATTTTGCTGTGTGCTTTTTTGTCATTTTAATTTGTTTTTATATTACTATTTATGTTTAACTTATTTGTAAGTTTTAATTGTTTTAATGTTTTCCAGTTAGTAATTTTAGTGTTTGAACTTAAACTTATTACAGTTACTTGCCAAAACAACATTTCTAAGTTTTGTTGTCATCTAATATTTATATTTTGTTTTATTTCATCTTTATTTTAATGGTAACACCTTTACAATTAGTTTAAATTAGTTAACATGAACTAACAATGAACACTAATACTTCTACAGCATATCTCGACACAATCTTAGAATTACTGATACACTTTAAAGATAAAAAGTTGTATCTGTTAATATTAGTTAATGCACTAAGAACTAACATGAACATGAACATTTTTATTAACTAACAAACAGGTTAATAAATGCTGTGAAAATAGTTTGTTCATTGTTAGTTCATTTACTAATGTTAACATATGAGACCGTATTGTTAAGTGTTACCATTTTACTTAACAAGATGTTTTACATAGATTTGTTTTTTGTTTAGTTAATGATAAAAATCCTGAATTTAAACAATGTTTTTTCTTTTCTTATAAGAATAGTTCACACAAAAATGAAATTAATGATTTTAAATATGGTGCAATATTCATGTACCATGATACTTCCTAGATTGCCATATCATATTACTATGATATGTACCCCCCAAAAATGCATTATGAAAACACTTTTGTCTCTCTCTCAGGGTTACACTAAGTCCATTGATATATGGTCGGTTGGTTGTATTCTGGCTGAGATGCTTTCGAATAGACCCATCTTCCCTGGGAAACACTATCTGGACCAGCTTAACCACATCTTAGGTAAACATCCCGGTGGACTTTATATATTTCCCTGCATGCAGCCTTTGACGTCACAGCTCAGAATAGCCACTAGTAAAGGGGTTGGGTGTATGATGTCATTTTCCTGTAAGTATAGTGTCTTTAGTCACATGACATTTATAGCTGATAGGAACTCAAAAAGCTGTAGATTTCAAGTTATGCATTTCCAAAACTGCATTGAGAACGGATTGGTTTCCTGGGTATTAAAGCATTTATAAACATGTTGCCAACATAGGAGATGCTTTAAGGGCTCCCTGTGGAAGAAATTAAGACTAAATATTAGTTTTTATAAAATTATAATAATTTATTATATATATATATTTTTTTTTTATTTAATAAAATTATATACCGGTAAGTCATATTGGTACATTTTTAGCCCAATTGTGCAGCCCTACAGACAAGCACAGCAAACCCATGCATTTTAAATCACAATCACAATTTGTATCTAAAAAAATTGCAATTAGATTTCCCCCCAAATCATGCAGATCTAATTACAAACTTTTCATGTGGATTGTTGATGCTTAGGTGAGTACTTAAATGATCACATGGGACATATTCAGCACTAAACTCTACATTGTGTAAATTGAAATCAAACTCTTCTTCTAAATATACTTTTATAATTTTTTATATTTCTAAAAAAAAAATTCCCACAGTTTTCATAAAGCTGTCCATCTGAAATGGAAAACATGCTCACTTACTTTGAATAATTGATACACATTGAGCGCTTTTCAAAAGCTCAGCATAGGCCATTCATCTCTGAGTTGAAACATGATGCATTGTGGTCAGTTTTGCATCGTAAGACTGAGATAAGCCTTTGATGGTTATCGCCAAGAAGGCTTAATCATCATTTCCCTTGCTAGACGAAGCACATCAGATGTCAGTCGCTTCCCTTCTCTTTATTTTTCCTTTCTCAGTCTGTTGCATGAGTTAAAAAACTCAGTGTTTCCTGTCAGATGCTGTTGATTTTGACCCTGCAACGAGCTGATAACGTTGTGCATGCTGCTACGTGTGTTTGAGGGTGTGTGTTTTCCCATAGCGATGGCTCCTGAAGAGACAATCTGTGTAGTAACACTTTCTTCCATTAACATGTGTGTCTTTGAACCGTCTGGCCTGTGTGAGCAGATGTTTCCCTGTTGATAACGCTACTTATTTCCTCATTTAGATTGCTTGTGCACATTAGCTTGGCGTACTGGGTTATTGTTGTACCGCCTTTCATTCTCTGAACACTTATTTTCTTGCATAAATTCAAATTGGAGTCAACAGCAACCAAAAATAAGTGTCATCTTGTAGTTGGGTTATTAAATGTGCCATATTCTACAATTGTAGCATAGCATTTATTGTTTAGTAATTTCAAATGAAATGCTATAGGCTGTTTTTCGGACTGTACTTCAAAGATTTCCACATGCAAATTACCTCCTTTATGATTGGCTAACCTCCATGTTGTATAGTCACATTGTCATCAATCACTGCTACTGAATAGTTATGTAAACATGAGCAGTTCTATGTTAATGAGCTCATGGTTCTGATGTCAATACCATTTCAGAATGAACCATTTTTGCAGCTTATTTTTTTTTTGCAGAGTGACTGGACTCAGGAAGCGGCTTTGTGAATGTTTGGTTGTTTAAATAGTACACTAAAAAATGTTTAGGAATTAATACTTTTATAGCATTAAATTGATCAAATTGACAGTAATATATTTTTATTTAAAATAAACGCTGTTCTTTTGAACTTTCTATTTATCAAAGAATCCTAAAAAAAGTATATTACGTTTTCCACAAAAATATTAGGCAGCACAACTGTTTTCAACATTGATAATAATCGGAAATGTTTCTTGAGCAGCAAATCAGCATCCTAGAATGATTTCTGGAGTCATGATGCTGAAAATTCAGCTTTGATCACAGGAATAACTTACATTTTAAAATATATGAAGATAGAAAACATTTCTTTTAAATTGTAATAATATTTCACAATATTACTATTTTTACTGTATTTTAGATCAAAAAAATGGAGCCTTGGTGAGCAAAAGACACGTTAGAGTATATCAAATTCATATTTCAAAAGACAAAGGATAATCTTTTAAGAGTGATGTTGTAAAGTATAAAACTTGTGAAAGTTGCAGTTGTTTAAGCTGGCCAGGATGGCAAGGAATGATGCAACAAAACTAAGCACATCTGAAAGAAAGGAGTGCTTCCCCTTTTTCTCTTTTGCTTTTATTCCCTTGAGCTCCTTATTTATATTTTCATAATTTCTACACTCATTTTTGCTTTATCTTCTTGATTGCTTATGCCCTTTTCCCCCTCTTTAGTCTAATTGGTTTTATTTGTCTTTTCTTTGTCCTGTAGGTATTTTGGGCTCCCCGACTCAGGAGGACCTCAACTGCATCATCAACATTAAGGCGAGGAATTACTTGCTGTCACTTCCTCTCCGCTGCAAAGTGCCCTGGAACCGCCTGTTTCCTAACGCAGATCCTAAAGGTCAGAGTTCAACTCCACACACCTTGATTAAAGGAAACTACTCCTCATATTTTGGAGGCAAAGCCACCTTAAATGCCAGTATGCATACTCACAATTGACTTGCAAGCAATTTTACAACTGGTATTTGAATTTCTGTTTATAACAATTAAAAGCTTAGCAGAAGTGTGCTTAGTAACATCTATTAAAAATAAGTTTGTTTTTAAAGGTGCAGTGTGTGATTTTTAGCGACATCTAGCGGTTCGGTTGCGAGTTTGCACTAAGGGCTCAGCCCACTGCTCACCCCTCCCTTTCGAAGAAGCTACGGTGGCTAAAACGGGACAAACATATCGTCGTCTGAGACTAGCCAGAGTAGGCCAAGAGTGTGTAACATTGTCACTGTTTCTGTACCACAGTCCAAAACCACATCATGGATAAAGTTTACAAAGCCATAGTCAGGTGAGGATCAAGGGTCTTAATATATAATATAATAATAGTAAACAGCTGATTGTCTCACAAACGTAACCAGCACATTTCTCCCCACATAGCAAACCCATAATACAGCGAGGGAGAAGAACCACATGAAACTATGCAACTATAAATTTTTTCTAACAGGGTAGTAAAAGTTTAGCTGTAATATGAGCTGTTACTGTGGCTGAGCTGGTTAAAGCATAAAGCCTTGTTTAAACTCGACGCGTCCGCATGAGCCCAAAGGTGTGCGCGGCATAAATGACATGATTGTAACAGCGCGCGCGCCTCCGCATGCCCTAGACACCATTTACTACACACAATAGGCTTTTTTTTCTCTGATTTTGAAAACTCTTCGCGATCGACTTAAAATGCTTCCAAGATCGACTTGTCGACCGCGATCGACAGGTTAGTGATCCCTGTAACATACTGTTTTACGGTCAATGACAAGAGTGCTAATCAGCTGTTTCACGAACGTAACCAGCACATTTATCCCCACATAGCAAAGCCATAACACAGCGAGGGAGGAGAACTAAGTTAAAGTTACATGAAACAGTCCAACTACGTATTTTACACCACTGACAAGGGAAAAGTCACTACTCACGGTGTTTATGGCTAGCTTCTAGGTTTCTGCGGCTTCTCGGTCTGTTTGTTCGCGTTCGGCTACGGTAGAAACATGACGTCACAATATGTCGACCTTCATAGAAGGGGGTGCCAGCGGTTATGTAAATATAAATGTCTCATTCTAAGGTAATAAAAAAATTACGGTTTATTAAGTAAGTTCTTTATACACCACTGAACACATAGTTATGGATGTCATATTGCATTTCTGTTAATAGATACTCACCTTTAATGAACTGGTGTGATATTTGGGTTTGATTGCTGTGTAAATATTTGGCTCTGTTTTCTTGCAGCGTTGGACCTGTTGGATAAGATGTTGACCTTTAACCCTCATAAGAGGATTGAGGTAGAGGAGGCACTTGCTCACCCGTACCTGGAACAGTACTATGACCCCTCAGATGAGGTCAGTTCACTACTACTTTTCTTTCTTAATTCCAGCAGGATAACTTTTGATAATAGCCATTTTTTAATCTTTCTAAAAAGTATTTAGGAAAAAATATACGCGCGAGCTTGTCGAGTGTATCACTTTTTCACAGACATCAGTGGGAAGCTTATAGTTCAGTCGGATGTCAATGGCAAAGAAAGTAAAACGAGGAGGCATGTATTATTAACGTTAACTGACGGTAGAGAGAGAGAGAGAGAGAGAGAGAGCACTTCTGTTGCAGGCTCTTGATTCCTGATCGTTCTCTCAAGCACACGTGTGTCATTTGGATTGAAACTAAATCGTATATGTAAGTAAAACATAAACCGTTAAGTGATTTATGTATAACCAGTGGTTCCCTACATTATTACAGGACGTTTGCTGGTCAAAAACAGCTGTTTATTGTATCCGTTCCTTGTTCTATTGTATTTATTTGTGCAATTTGTAATTTGATTTTGTTCTTATTTTATTACTGACTGCTTCCTTTAATAATGTTTTACCTTTACATTTAATTAGGCTAGTAGTTTTTTGCTGTAGTATCAAAATTGGAATAGAGAATTGTGATATTTCACTAGTAACTGCTGACCCAATCCTCCGCACTGAGCCCTGCTGGAGAAGCTCTAAATATGTGCTGTGCAATTAAATGGAAGATCAAATATGATAGAGCAATAGAAGGAACTGTGAAAGTAACAAGCTCATACAACACATTTTAGCAGGCTTCATTATGCATGAAAATAACTAAAGGAAACATGTATTTGCTAAACAAACTAATATGATTGCAAAACCTATTAATATGATTCATATTCTTTTGCTTTCTCTAACCAATGTATTTAAAAATGACAAATGCAGTGAAAATACAGGTATCGGCAAGTACCAAAAATGAAAGTATTAGTATCTGACTCGTTCTGGAAAAAGTGGTATCGGTGCATCCCTAGCAAGTACATAACAATATTAGTTAATAGTAAAAATATAAATATACAAATATTAAAAATGAAACGATCTGTTAATGGATTTAAAAGACTTTGGGATGGAATGGATAAATTTTTTTCTTGTAGGCCTATATTATTTTATGTTCTTATGTCTTTTAACATTTATTGATAATAACAAACCTTATTCGAATATAGGCAAAATCGTGCAGTGTAATATAATAGTAGGCCTATAATATAGGTTAATAATAATTTCTTAATTCCACACTTTTTTTGTCATTCTTAATTCAAAATAAAATATAAATTCAGTTTACACTGTATTTTAAAGTGACGTAGTTACACTGTACTCGCTCGAATAAGTACTGAGTAATATTAATTAACTACCAGTACTTACTATAGAGTTACGGTTAGTTACTTCTTGTAATCATGCATAATTTACTGTTTCTACTATAGAAAGTACATGTAGTAACGTTTAACTACGTCACCTTAAAATAAAGTGTTACATTAATTTATTATTAATATCAAATTCTGATAATCTCAGGTTGTCATGGTCACACAGGTTTGTTTATGCATTAAACTCGTCAACATAGGATCTTGAGGCTGTGACTTCACATCACGTGGCCACAACATAAGGATGCCGTTACCTTGACAAAATGATCTCGTGGCTATGAGTTAATATGACCTTCCCACCAATTAATAAATCGTGGCCACGACAAAACTTAAGTGAACCGAACATGTCCCCTACCGGTCACAGTCATTTTGGGATTCTGGGTGACTGACTTTAATAAAGTAAAGGATAAATGTAAAAACGTATATTCTGCTGTCCTCTGCTTTGAAGAACACTAGCTTCATCATGTTCTCCGCTTTTTCATATCTCAGAGTTTATGGTGATCAAAGGTGGAGCGTTTCTAACATAAGCACTATGAAGTGCACTTTATTAGCCACATGACCACAATAACCTTTGACCATCTATAGAGTGTCTGTTAAGATGCGATTGGTGGTTTAAGCATAAATGCAAGATTACTGATGCTACCTTGTCATGTGTGATCAGTGCATTTCCTGTATTTTTTGTGCTTTTTTCACAACAGCAGTTTTGTTGATACTTATTGTGTCTATAACATCAAAACATTACATTGTTGCATGGAGTTAAGCACCCGCCCTATTGCACAAATAGCTACACTGAACACTGTACTTGATGAATATCATTTGCTATTTGTGTATCGGACTGTATCTACCAATACTGAAAAACAGCTTTAGTGAATAATATTGTTGTACAGGTTTAAGCAAAAGAGTTGTTTAAAGCATTTTATCCCATAATCGCATGCTTTATTTATTCTTCACAGCCTGTTGCCGAGGCTCCGTTTAAGTTTGAAATGGAGCTGGATGACTTGCCCAAAGAGACCCTGAAAGAGCTAATCTTTCAAGAAACTGCACGCTTTCAACTAGCCTTCAGACCATAGCCTATCGCTCAGGTAAACTTGAATATTTGCTGAAGCCAAATGCTTGTGTTAAATGGACAAAAGAATCAATCACATAGTGATAGAAAGAAGGATGAGTGTATTTTCCATACCTGGAAAATAACCACTAACAAGTGCAAAGGATCATTCATTTCATTCTGTCTATTTCTAAACCCTTAAATGATACACATGTAAGATTTTTCATGCATCACATGCATGCATGCATCACACCAATAGGACTAAATATCTTTGCACTGTAATTTAAGAAGTGTACACTACTGGTCAAATGTTTGAGGTCTGACTCTGTAATATTTTTTTTTATGTTTTTGAAAAGTCTCTTATGCTCACTAAGGCTGCATTTATTTGATCCAAAATACAGTAGAAAGTAATATTCTAAAATATTATTACAACTGTTTTTTATTTTTGTATATTTTAAAATGTAGTTTATTCCTATGATGCAAAGATGAATGTTTTGCATCATTACTCCAGAAATCTTTGTAATATGCTGATTTGATGCTCAAGAAACATTTCTTATTATTATCAATGTTATTAACAGTTGTGCTGCTTAATATTGTTGTGGAAACCATAATACAAGATTATTTCATGAATAGAAAATGTGTTTAAAGAATGTTTATTTGAAATATAAATAATTTGTAACAATGTAAAATTTGTAAAAGTGTTTTGTCACTTTTTGATCAATTAAATGCATCCTTGCTAAGTAAAAACATAATTATTAATTTATTTATTTTTTAAATCTTACTGACACCAAACTGTTAAACACATTTATAATGTGATTAAAATAAAGAAATAAATGTGTGTCTGTCAGTAGACGTGTAGTGGGGAAGAAGCAGCTGTTCCGAGGTTGTTCCTTTTACATTTCCTGGATTACAAAAACAGTGCCAAGAACATGAATATTATTAGTATGATTACTTGCATACTGACCCCAAACTTTTGAATATAGTGTAATATAGTGTGAAAAGCCCATTTTTACTCTCTTTTGGCATTTTGCAAACATCAATTTTGGACCCCAGATGGAATTTGGTTAACGCTTTATTTTACAGTGTCTTTGTTACACGTTACATGTAGAAATAACTATAAATTAGACATAACAACATGCAACTAAACCTAAACTAAACCCTAACCCTTTAGTGAGTGCATGCTGGTAATTAATATTACTCGATACTTAAATATATAATTACGCTGTAACTAGGACACCTTAAAGTAAAGTGTAACCAGAACTATTTGCGTTGTGTTTTGTTTCGACCATAACTAAACCTATTTTTCCTGTCTGTAGGTGTTGGTCTGGATTCGATCATGCTGATGCTTCTGTCTCCACACCACTGTGTGCTGTGGTCCTCTTTTGGTCTTCATCACCACCATCATCATCATCATCGTTATCTCCTCCTTTTCCTAAACCCTAAAACTACAGGCAGCCTTCAAAGTTCATCTGACCCCATTTGAAAACATGGACTCCTGCGCCCTCCTGCTTTCTTCAAATCTCATTACAATGGAAGAAATGTGTAGAGCTTCTCTCACACTCTTCCTCTGCATCTCATCCTTCTCTCTTCTTGCTTATCTGTGTGAAAGTGTGCCTGCATGTGTTTATGGACCCATCTCGATTAACCCTTTTTCTCTCGGTCCTCTGATACATAAAAAGAAACGTCTATGATTGTGTTAGTGTCGTGCTTCTTTTTAGCCTCCTGTTAATATTTCCAACAAGCTGCTTTTCTAAGGTGTCTGTAAGCCATTTTGAAGTCCCACAGAGGTCAAACTGGGAGAGAACGAGGGCTCAGATCTCCTCTATTATTATTATTATTATTATTATTATTATTATTATTATTATATATATGCAGTGGACAAGCATTTATCCACATTGTGCATCGCCAATCTCCTCAAAGTGCACAGAGCTCTCAATTTGCCACGGTGTCTTTTTAGGGCTTTAATATATTTTCATAAATGCAAATATGTATTTACGTACTAATAACCCCTTAAAATTGCTTAAATCTTTCATTAATTTATCAAATAATTGTTTGTACATTTTAACTCCTCCAATCTCCCTTCCAATCAGTTGTAGAATATAGAAATATATAAAAATATAAATTTGTACATTGATTCTCAATCATAAACCCTTAATCACTTTTCGAAAAGAGACTAATCTGTTAAATTTGCTCAAGAGCCAAAGACAAAGGCCGCTTTGAAGATGTTACGACATCACTTGTGTCCAAAAGTTGACCACATTACCTGCAAAAAAAAAAAAAAAAGTGCTATGCAGGTGAATGTATTTCCCAAAATCCAGGTGTTTTTGAATCTAAAGATGCACGTAGGTCCATTTAGGAACTGGACTTTATCAGCTAGGTTTAGAGGAACTTCTGCCAAGGGACAAAGAACAATCTCGTGTTTTTTCAGTCATAACTGGTAAATTTCGAATCGATGTCTCTATTATAAACGTACAGTGCCTGCTCTGCATTCATTCTTTCTTTTTGTATATATCTTTGTCTTTTTGCTTTCCCTGTCCACCCCCCAGCCGCCTTGTATCAATAAGACTGTGCCCTTGCATGACTGTTAAAAAGCTTTCTATACAAAGAAAATGGAAGTGCCACACTGCTGGGGATTCCGCTATTGGACTCTCAGGTTTTTGTTATAACCTACCTTTTGTGGTCTCATATTTCCAATATAGAGTATTACGAGTTAAAAAAAACACAAAAAAAATCCTTTATTTTGCTTGTACATTTTGGTTTCACTTCTTTCAAAATCCAGGTTCCTTTCAGTGTTTGAAAAAAATATATAAAAAAATCGAGATTAGCTTTTTAGATGAACTAAATCAGCCAGCTCAACCAGAACGTCAGGTTTAATTCCATATGGAAATTAGGGGACTCTAGCCATGGAAATGCACCTTGTATTAATCCATTTCAATCATAAGATATTTTCTGCTCGTCTGCTAGACCCAGACGAAATGAAAGAGAATGTCTACCTGGAACTGTATGTGCTATAATGCAAACTTTTGTGCATTTAGTGCGCGAGATAGCACTTGAACGTTTGTGAAAGTGGAGCCCAGTCGATGTCTTAGATACTAAGTTATTGATACTGATGTGCGCACATGTGCATGGCTTTTGCAAAGTGTTTCTTTCCCACACTTGCTTCCTTTTTGGTTTACTAACTCCACGGTACTTTCGCCTATAATATCTGGCAAGGGGACACCTAGTGATGGTATCAGATGTTTGTTGATCAAGGAGAGAATGGGCTATAATGTTAAATGCATACATTAAAAAAATAAAATGAAGAAAAAAAAGGCAAAACTCTGTAAGATAGCTTCTGCCGAATCAGTGTGCAGCCTGTCTGTTTCTGTGTGCCTTTATGAATCACGAATACATTTATCGTGCAGCTTTGTTTTGTTGGGATCAGTTGTGACTTTTTTGCGGTATACTCTTGAACTTATATATATATACATTTTTATATATATATATATTTAAAAAACCTGTGAAAACCAAAAAAAAAATCTCAATTCTCTTTATGTAATTTTAAGTCCTATTTGTCTCACCTTTTGTGATTTTGTTTGAGGAAGTATAAAGAAATATAAATACTCCTTTTATTTTTGCCCTACTTGGTTTGATCCTGTTGCATTTTGCCTTCAGTTCTTGAAAGTTGTGTGCAGAACTGTTTTTATTGTAAAAAAAAAATGATTGTCTAGTGATTTATTATTAATCTTGTATAAAAAGAAATGTCTGTGTATTAATCTCCTTTTTGTTAGCAATGGCCGACTCTTGTCGTGAATTTCACTTACAAGCTTCGAAACTCCCAGGATTCGGACCCTCGGATGAGTTTCAGGGGGTGTCAGTAAAGTCACTTGGGAAATTTGTGATTACAAACAGTTCAAAAATATATTAAACTCTTTTGAATCTATTGAAAAAGGTGGCATTATGTCTCAAAGGCTTGTTTTTACTGCTAAAAAAAAAAAAGACAGCCAAGGTTCGTTACCGATAGTGATCTCTGCATCTGCCAAGTCATGTAACCTAAAAACAGCAGAATAAAACCAATTGTAATATTTTTGCCTCATGTCTCCTTGATATTACTGCTAGTGTTTCATGTGTTGGACTGTGTATAGGCCAATCTTCAAGTCTAATACAAATGTGTTGAACATATCAGATACATCAGAATCGTGTTGTCACACTATGGGGTAAGTTGTCACATTGGGAACCTGCAATCAGCCTTGACTTGAAAGTAATCTTATATTCTGAGGAATTTAATTTAAAAAAGAATTCAGATTTTTTTTTTTTTGCTTTAGTACAATGTCAAATAAAAGCAACTAATTTCGGAAACAATGCATATAGTATTTTTCTCACACATTTGAAGCAGTATATCCATGAAAATATATATTTTATGAAGGGGGTCCCTCACAAGGTGATCTTTATTTTTTAGTTTTTTTTGTTGTTGCATTAATTAGTCTGAAAATTACAATTAAAAAGTTCCCTGCTTCAACAGAAATGTCTCAGTCTAGATCCATCTAAATTGACACATCTGTGCTGGCATTAAGGTGTCTTTACACAGGCTTTTTTGTAACGCTGCTTAGTCAGAGGTGGCATAAATGCATTTACATAGCAATTTCTTCAACTGTATACTTTGACACAAGGGTCTGAAGTGGGTCAGAGCAGGCATAATTTGATCTTTACACAGAATTTTGATAGTTCTCCCAAAAATGTAAAGTCTGTCATCATCTACTAACCTTCATGTTAAATAAGTCCATTTGTGAAATTTCCTCACTATACTAAATATTCCACGGTCAACTGTTAGTGGTATTATAACAAAGTGGAAGCAATTGGGAACAACAGCAACTAGGCCACATAAAATCCCAGAGTGGGGTCAGCGCATGCTGAGGCGCACAGAAGTCGCCAACTGTCTGCAGAGTCAATAGCTACAGAGCTACAAACTTCATGTGGCCATCAGATGAGCTCAAGAACAGTGTGTGTGTAGAGAGCATCATGGAATGGGTTTCCATGGCCGAGCAGCTGCATCCAAGCCATCACCAAGTGCAATGCAAAGCGTGGGATGCAGTGGTGTAAAGCACTAGATCAGTGGAGACGTCTTCTCTGGAGCGACCAATCACGTTTCTCTGTCTGGCAATCCGATGGACGAGTCTGGGTTTGGTTGTTGCCAGGAGAACGGTACTTGCCTGACTGGATTGTGCCAAGTGTAAAGTTTTAGAGGGGGGATTATGGCGTGGGGTTGTTTTTCAGGGGTTGAGTTTGGCCCCTTAGGTCCTGTGAAAGGAACTCCTAATGCTTAATGCATAGCAAGACAATTTGGACAATTTCATGCTCCCAACTTTGTGGGAACAGTTTGTAGATGGTTCTAACATGACTGCGCACCTGTCCCGACCTCAACCCGATAGAACACCTTTGGGATGAATTAGAGCAGAGACTGCGAGCCATCTATCACTCTGTCTCCTCTCCACCAATAAGCTGGTGTGTGGTGGGCGTTCTGGCGCAATATGGCTGCCTTCGCATCATCCAGGTGGATGCTACACATTGGTGTCACTCTGGTGACTTTAGGGTGTTCCTGTGCACCCAGGAACCCTGCATCTTTCCTTCTTGTAACACATTATTTGCCATTGTGGGGTATTGTCCAAGACATCCTTGAAAAGCACCCCTTATCACTCAACGGTGCCCTGAGGCGACAAAAAGAAAAACTGAATTTGTGAACATGCAAAATAAAAAAAAACTGCCAAAAGGCTTCTCTACACCTTTATACACACACATATTTTTTTATGTACAGTTCATGTCATTTTAAATAAGATTATAGTAATCTTGCTTTCTTCTCACACCATGTGCTCCTGTGACCATGTGCCAGAAAAGGACGTCCCACCTTCAAATGGTGCATTATAGTGACTCCCAAACCTTATTGGACTGTTCTTTGATACTTTTTCAAACATTCTAATTGGTTGCAATCATTTAAAGAAAAATGTACTGAACATAGGGCTTAAGAAAACTTTCCAATCCCGCCGGCTGCAGACCTGGAGCCGGCAGATATACGCCCCTGTCAGTTTTACGCCCCGGCAGTTTTACGACCCTGTTGTTCCTGATGCGTCCAGTAGAGGGATATACTGCGAAATAACATCATTAAATCGACGCTTAATAACCCGTCCATAGACTTGACAATTTTGTGTTTTTTGTTAATTTAAATATAAACGTTATAGTGTAGATCTGCACGGATTAAATTATCTGTTTAACAAAAAAACAAGGGGGGTAAACGGACATCAAAAGAGATTGAATTAGGGTACACAAATCAATGCAATATTACATTTTGTCAATATAAAAACATGTAAGGTTCTTTACAACAGACTCAATGATATTATTTGTTTTATAAACCTTTGAGTTTAAAGGTTCTGACATTTTCTTAAAGGAAGAAAAAAATGAACTTTATATAAGAGGACAGAGGAGAATATTCTAGAATCAGGATTACTTTGAATGGTTCTGTCTTTATGAAGATGAAACTTGCCCAGAAGACAAAGTAATAATATCGTATAATCAAGTTTAACATCGTTAGAATTAAAATCTGACAAAAATAGATTCTGTCATTTGTATGTTAAATAATCTGCTAAAGTTATTGTTTTTTAGCAATGATGCAACATTTATTATTTATAAACGATTAGCTCGATAGAGCTAGGGTAGGTAGATATCAATTCATTTATATATCAATGGATGGGTCTATAATGTATTTTGACAGGTTTCTGTTCTATCTGGCTTAAACTTAGCTAACCACGTGTAGGTTTAGCTTCCCCTATCTTCTCTACTCAATTTAAAATTAATTTTAATTTTAATTTTCTTTTGTTGCCTGTCTTTAGCTTGGCCTCTTCTGGTAAGACTCTGTTTACTCCTTGCATTAAAACATACTCCACGTGGTTTATAGAGCAATATTACAGTAGATAATGGAAATATGTTAATTTTTTTTACAGTCTATGGTGTGAACACACAAAAGACACATTTATAATAGGTATGTAAATCTCTCTCTCTCTCTAAGTAAAGAGTTAAACTGCACACTCACTCAAATACGTTAAAACACATTAAAAACTTTCCATATATGGTTTGAATGTAGATTCTGGTTTGAGTTGTTTCTTATAAATGAGATGATCTAATTATCTCATTTATATCTTAATATACATTTTTTCTTAAAATAGCTTACTGATCTGGACTCAAATGTAGGGTATGTTGTGCACTTAATGTGGGTTCTATCAAACTCTGTCTTTACCTTTCTCTTTAACTTGGATCTCATAAAGGTGTGTTTGCTTTAGCTACTTAAGGAAACACACACACACACACACACACACACACACACACACACACACACACACACACACACACACACACACAGGGACAAGGTCAAATTCACCATGGATGTAAATTTTGAACTTTTTTAATGTTTCATTTTTTAACCTTTCATCAGTGAGCAGGAGCAGTTAAAGAAAAAAAAAACAGTTAAAGAAGAGTGGCAAACCATAGGGGAGTCATCATAATTCATAAATGGTGTTAATAAATATTTTTTTGTGAACAACAATATTGTCTATATCTTCTAAATGGCCCATGGAATTTTAGAAAAGGGATAAATTGTGTTTGTCCTCATAAAATGCTGTGTAGGACACTGTTTTGTAGCTGTATGATGACCAATAGAATAGTACAGCAGATATTTCTTCGAGGATCCATATTATTACACGGTACTGCATGTCTAATGGGCTAAATATAGTTAATATCTAAATGTGACTTTATATAAATTCACAAAAACATATTTCACTCAGTCTCCTGTATATAAAAACCTACGGTGAATTGGCCTATAACTGCAGTAGGTCATAGCATCACCTGTCATAACACATAGTTGATCCAACTATGTGTATTTTTAATTTTTCAATTCACAAAAACAAATAGTCTTCTGTAGGTTGAGTGAAGAGAGTGAAGCCCAACTAAATATCTTCAGAAAATTTAATCCGTGGAGATCTACACTGTAACGTTTATATTTAAATTAACAAAAAACACAAAATTGTCAAGTCTATGGACGGGTTATTAATGTGTAAGCGTCGATTTTATGTTATTTCGCAGTATATCCCTCTACTGGACGCATCAGGAACAACAGGGTCCTAAAACTGCCGGGGCGTAAAACTGCCAGGGGCGTATATCTGCCGGCTCCAGGTCTGCAGCCTCCCCATATAGTCCCGCCTTAATGGTGTGCAGTAGAGGGATAATTTGTGTTCCGAAGATGAACGAAAGGTTGGAACAACATGAGGATGAGTAATTATTACTGACAGAATGTTCATTTTTGGGTGAACTAAATTAAACAGAACAAACAAGTCTATCTGAGTTAAGATGTACCGGTATTGTTCGTGTTGTCTGTAGTGCAGCGACGTAATACTCTGATTCCTTTGTGTTGTCTTGGTTGTCACGGCAACAGAAGTGCTCCTCTTTGCACTCTTGGTTGAGTGAATAAGAAAAGGTAAAGTGCAGTGATGTAATAAAACAAGCATGAGCGGCTGATTTGGCTCCTGTGAGAGCCTGCCATCCATGACAACCAGTGGCAGCTTGATGAAAACTATTTAGACATTCGATAAAAATAAACGAGTCTCTGCGTTAACCCTCAGCTAACAGTGCTTGTGGCTGCTCTTGATGACAAGCACACTGCAGGATAAAGGCTTTCCTGTGAGAATGTGACATGCATTATTACATAGTAATTCATCATACATGCTTGGATCCTTAGGCAATGACAAATATGGGAGACTGGGGCTAGTTGTCACATTTTACTTTTAAAATGGGGTTCATTTCACAAATCTGATCTGTCTTGACTACAATAAAACGTATTGAAGATTTCAGACAGGAAAAAATATGCTGTTCATTGAAAATGCCTCCTGTAAAACAGCAGTGCATTCTGTGTTGTCACAATTCATTAAAAAAAAAAGTATTTTGTAAAACAGTGGGGCATGTTGTCACGTTATGCAAATGATGCAAATGATTATACATAATATCTTTATATTATTTTTATATACATGAACATACTATAGCTTCCTGTGTATTTTATGTGTATGTGTCCCTTACAATGGGATCTTTATTTTTTAGGTTTTTTTTAATAGTCTAAATAGTCTAAAAGCTACTATTAAAAAGGTCCCTGCTTGAACAGAAATGTCTGTCTAGTTGTCCTTAATCAGTTCTTCAAGTAATGCAATTACTTCAAGTAATGCAAGTAATCTTCAAGTAATGCAAGCTAAAATAGTACTATATATTAATAATTATTATTATATTATTATTATTATAACTGTCATACGTTTGCAGTTTAGCAAAATATTTTTCTGATCATAATGGAAATGCCTGTAGCGTTTGGAGCAATTGCAGTGTTGGTACATTAGATGGCGACAGAGTTTAACTATATTAATAATAAAGACTTGTTTTCATTCTACGTAGTTATACGTATTATTGACCGTAGTTTCTAAACAACAACTGCTGATGGAGAATGTGAGTTAGATTAGGTGAGAGAACCGTTTGCTTATTTTATGTATCGTTTATCATATTCCTATTCGAGACAGTTCTCAACTTCCATTTCGCCAAACAGTTGTATTTATTAATAATACTAATAATAATCACTAGGGCTACATCATTATTATCGTTACAAAATATTTCCATTATGATCTTGCTGTTAAATTTAAACGATAATATAGCACCAACATCCGGGCCTTTGCACTGTTTACCTGAACCACGTGTTATGGCTTTAAGGACTGGAGCGCGCTGCCGTGCACGTGTCTCTGCAGTGAACGCGCATTATCGAAAACAAGCGAAATGCTGTGAGCGCGGGCTCTGTGTTTGTCTGGAGCGCGGAGCCTGCGGCGATTGGCTCTGTGAGCCATCTGTCTCGGCAGCTGATTGGTTTACACAAATAATTCTCAACCTGATTGGTTATCATATCTGCGGAAGAGAATGCCGTCATGATTAACATGTATTCTCAAATATTTTCGAGGGAAACGTTCAAATTAAGCAAACGCAAATTAACCAAAATGACGAGGTGTCTTTTAAGGTTCACAATGAATTCTACCCAGCGAGTCAGTAAGTGTACAAATACAGAAATTATTAAAGAAAGAAATACAGAAATTTATTGAGAACATTCAGTGGTGACATCAAAAATTATCTTAAATAAATTACGCTTATTATAAATGTGTCTTATTATTTCCGACACACATAAATGTACTTGCTGTTACCTCAAATTCTCCCTAGCAGTAACAGTATTAGGCCTACTCTTTAAGTTTATTCAGAAATAAATCAGAAACTATCAAGATGCGAAATAAATATTAGTGAGCTTAACAAAGTAATTATTTTTATTAGGCCTATTTATGCAATTTATTATAGATTTTCTTTTCTCTTTTTTGCAGTATAGCTGATATTTAAATTTAAGTGAACCACAACATGCTTAAACTGATTCTTTTTGAATTAGTGTGATCATTTTCAATTAAAATGGGATAATTACCCTACATACAGCTGTGAAAAAACTATTGGCAACATTTGTGGCATTCTTTAAAATTGCAACTGCAATATTTACATTCTTTAAAATTCAAATGGAGCTTTCCCAAACTATGATTGTTATTTTTTTTATTCATTTTAAAAAAGGGTCGCGTGCTTGTTTAGCTTGCAAAATATTTGTGAATGAAGACGGGACAGATCGATGTAAATGTTAGTGAGCGTGGAGCGCACACTAATAGCGACCTCCGCCTCGTACGTGATCGCATCACAGTCTCATTCAACAACAAAAAAATCCGCAGAGAAGAGTGTCGGAGCGAAAGAAATATGAACAGAAGACTCTAAACAACAACAACAACAGCAGCAGCATCTTGCACCGTCGTGACACATGCGGACACCACAGCAGTGCTCCTGAATGAGAAACCCTGCAGTGGGGAGAACAACTGATCCACGTCCACCTCCTAAAAGGTATCGCATTCTGCGTCGTGCAACATTTGGCATGTTTTCTTTTTAAATTCGATGATATTTTCCAGTGCAAACACCCGAATGTGTGAGTTGCTTTAAGAGGACTCCATAAGTGCCTCAGCGAAGGTCACATTGGAGTGCTGTGTTTTTATTTCCCCACAGCAGGCAGCAAGTTAAAACACGACGCTGTCAAGCGTAACATTCTGTATTTTTATTTTTATTTATTTGGTGAGCTGGATAATAATTGCCTTGAGTCAGTGTGAAAAGCTTTACTGTGGGTTACTATGGCGCGGAGTTATAAAATGGGACGCAGAATGAAAACATATGACATCATCAGGACAGTGGTGGCGACGCGACAGGCTTCCTTATTTACCCGAAGACTTGATAATATTGCACGAATTCACGCCTTTCTGTTCGCTTTTGAAACTATTGATGAGTACTGATCATCGTCGGAACACTGCGCCTGTCTGCCTGTGTCAATAGGTAATGGGTTATTTATCTTTGAACAACGCACTGTCAGTGAATATAATGACAATGACATGCATGTCAATATAGTAAGGATAAGTTTTACCTTATGCATTGCATCTGCCGTTATAGTTGTGCACAGTTACTAAAATACTGGGTTGGTTTTTTGTGACCATCATTTATTTTTAGGCAGACTCTTCACTTATTATTTATAAGGCGTAGCAGATGCTCTCTGACGCATAAAGATATGGGGCCATTTCTTTAATGCCGTCAGGCTGTGAGTCCCACCCTTACACAAGTCCCAAACCATTAATTAAGCAACATTGCGCTATGATGACTCTTGTCTTGATACGTTGACATGAATTGCATGTTTTACATGTGGACTTTGTGTGTATGGGTGTATCATAATAAAAAGGAATCAGTGACATTATAGGGCTCAAACTACAGACTATTCTAAGAGCTATTCAAGCAATTAACTTAATTCAATTTTTAAAATCTAAACATTTAAATCCATTACACCTCTTTGAATTGTTCTTCATTGGGGCATACAGCTCTCCATTTTGAGAGCTGCCTGGGGATAATGCAAAACATGGATACGATGAAGTCATCATCTTAACCTATTTAAAATCGTTGACTTGCATTGTATTTATTTACACATCCGGGGTTATTTTCGATTCACTGATGGCCACGCCCTCGCAGCCCCACTATTGGCTGCTTTACACGCCAGTAATGCGACGCCCCGCCCACTCACAAAGCAGCAAGTCTATCACACAAACACAAAGAGTGCAACAAAGACTAGAGAAATGTACAGCCTAACCGACACACAAAACTGTCAGATAGTCTCCGTTTGAGATCTCAGACGGAACCTGCACCGAGACAAGACAACCAGAACCAAAAATAAATGAATAAATATCACAAATCATACGTTGAGTGGAAAAAAATATCAGCTTCCCTTTAGACAATCTATGCCAAACTTCGCGTTGAGATCCAGTTCAAGTGGTAAGTTGACGAGTTTCTGCTCATGTCAAACTAATATACTTTTATATTTGATGTGTGAAAACAAGATTATTGTTTTAGAACGCTTATTAGTAAATGTACACAAGCTCAAAACCTTTCCTTGTCTAAATCTCTCGTCTGCCTTTGAAAAAAATGTGGAGTTAGATGCATGCACGCGATTTGTAAGTTAATTGTACGGTACAAAAACACAAATGTCGTATTTGGTTTGCATAAAGAATGATAATTTATCGTTGGCATTAGTGTTTGCAGATATCGAGACTCAAATTTGGTCTCTGTCACTGCGCTTCCTGGTTTTGTCAACGCATGAGCCTTTGTTTTGTATCCACGTTGGTCTCAGGGTTTCTTTGTTGTTGGCTCTAAAGATCCCGCTGACAACAATCAATTTGCACCTTTTGTAACTGGTTGCCTATTGTTGGCGCACTGAATTGCTTTTATGGGAATCTTGCTTTGTTGTTTGTCCCTTTGCATGGAAGTAAAACAAAAGAGACAAATAGATGCGTATGCGGAATAAGTTGCACTGAACAAGTAACTTGCTTAGATTTATAAGTGATTAGTAGCTTAACGTGACTATTCGAGCTTTTACATAGTTAGATTTGTTATAGCTGTTATTGTTTTTCTTAAGCCATCATACTCATGATTAGCCTTATCCTGTCAGGTTAACACGCGCTCATGAGTCTCCTTTGTTTGTCTGCTGTTGATCTTCCTGCGGATCGACCGTCCTCTGGTTTTATTTCAAAACTTCAGCGCTTTTACAGGGTGAGCAGTTATAAACATATTATAACTGAACAGTTATAATCATATTTTTTCGCACATTTTACAATGTTACAGATGTGTGTGTTCTTTCCAATTAACTTGTCTTTGTAAAAGCACGCTTGACGTGTAATTTGCGCAAACGTTAGTGCTTATTTTTGTCTTTAGGCTACATTATAATTCGTGCTAATTACATTAAATATAGGGAATAATCTCGAGATTCTTTTCGTGCATATTTATGTGATTAATAGATTTGTAAGATGAAAAAACAAAACAATCATTTAGTAGATATTGAATATCTGGATATAATGTTTACAGGTAAAGTTCTTATTTCCACCGAGACGCGTGCCACATCGAGCGCTGCGCGAGGTCTTGTTGTCTTTGTGCACGCGCGACAGTGTTGCCAACTCCGCTTATTGTAAGCGACTTTGTGTTTTGTTTACGTAAAGTCGCTTATAATTATGCGCCGTTTTGAGGGCTTGTTAACATAATACAGTTGCATATTTGAGATTGATATCATCACAATGACGTATGATCGACCACTAATAGCAGCTGCAGTTGTCAAATATTCCCACTTGCTGTTCGAATCCCAGTGTATTATGTAATTATTGAACAGTTCCTCTCCATCCGTTTCTGCTTTCCTCAGATTCTCTGTGTGCACGACGAGTGAGATTTATTTTGGGGTCAGTTGTAAATGTAATATGTGAAACATTTAAATGATTAAGGAAAATTATATGGTTCTCGAAAAGTCATTTTAGCGTCAAAATTATGCGTCAAAATTGAATTTTGCATTGATAATGTATGTTTTATGCAAAACAAAACCAGCATGGGGTTGCTTTTTCAGACTTATTTTGGTTAGGTAAATCAGAGTGTGTTGCATGTTTTAGCGAGATCTGGCAACCCATCGGCGCCAGAGCTCGCGCGCTTTGTTGGTCGGCATGGTTGGAGCTTCCTGTGCTATTGCGGAAGTGACTGTTTTCTTTTGCATACAGTGTTGTTGCCCCCTCATTAGCGCATTATACTGAGTTTCCTGTTATTTTCTGATTGTCTGTGTGAACAGCATGGGAACTATGGAATGATGAATGTCAAAAAAAGATGGTGTTTTAGAAAAAACACATATTAAAATCGGCCAGTGCCTTAAAGGGATAGTTCACCCAAAAATGAAAATTCTGTCATCATTTACTCACCCTCAAGTTGTTCCAAACCTGTATGCATTTCTTTCTTCTGCTAAACACAAAATAAAAATATTTTAAAGAATATGAGTAACCAAACAGTTGATGAGCCTCATTGTCCTCAATAGTATGTGGAAAAAAATTCTAGGGAAGTCAATGTGGTCCATCAACTGTTTGGTTACTGACATTTTTCAGAATATCTTTTGTGTTCAACAGAAGAAAGAAATTCATACAGGTTTGGAACAACTTGAGGGTGAGTAAATGATGACAGAATTTTCATTTTTGGGTGAACGATCTCTTTAAGTGTGAAATGCCTTTAATTATTATTATTCCTTATTATTTCTCCTCCCCTGCAGAAAAGTTCCATGAAACAGTGGCATCACATGGCAATATGGTACTTTGATAGCCATGTTCATGTACAAAGGTTTTGCATGATAATCAAAGGAAGTGCTGTGGCTGAAATCATTGATGTATAAATAAACTTCCACAATTAATTCACTGCTTTAGTGTTATTTTGGCTTTGTAAAAAGGGGGCCGTCTGGTCTGGTAAATCAAGATGATTTGTTATTGTGTTACAGATGATGTGTTTCCCACAGTGGCAATAGAGCTGAGCTTGGTCCTCTTGTTGCACAGGGCAACTAGCTGCCATTTTTGACATGCTTAAACAACTTGTCTAAAAGTGAATGTTAAATATGTGGTGTTCGCTGGAGGGAAAATCTTTATTATTCACACTTCATCAGTCTCACAGGTTGATCAGGCTTAAGCTGTCAAGGGTGAAGAGGAAATTGTTTTTTTTTTGCTATTATCTGATTTGAGCTGCTCATTTGCATTTTTTTGCAATTCTATGACAAATTATTCATGCTTAAAATAAATAGTTAGTTCATACAAGTTGAGCATGGCTTTAGGAACACCAAGGACATGGGATTGATTCCTAGGGAACGCATTGAATTGAAAATGCCATGTAAGTAATAACTAAATAAAAGTATCTGGTAAATGCCTAAATGTAAATGTAAGTTCAACCCAAAAATGGAAAACTTTGTCATCATTTAATGGTTACTCTTTCCATGCAATTTTAAGCTTCAAATAGGATGCGAGAGTATCATAAATGTGGACAATATAACTCGTGAACTATATTTAAAGTCATCAGAAGTCATACAGACCATAATTTTAAATAGTTATTCATCCACCCTTTTAGTTAAATGTTGTTAACTTCAACGGATCATTGAGTTAGTCTAAATGAAGGGAATTCTTGAAAGATTGATTTTGTGAACTGGATCACTTGAGAGCCGACTCAATAGAATGTTTTTGTGAAGCTTACAACTACTTCTGTGGTGCTTTTGCTCTGGTTCCCATTCATCGTAATTGCATGGAAAAGTAACCAGTGCAATTTCTCATTTTGTGTTCCACAGCAGAAAGACAGTCATAGGGTTTTGGAATGACATGAGTTGAGTAAATGATGAAAATCATGAGGATTTTTGGGTCCTAAAGGTCAGTTTAAGATTACCCTATCTTTTTATAGCTTGGTAGAAGCCAATTAATAATGACTTTCTCCACCCTCCTTTTCTTGCCTTCTATTTCCAGGTCGTATTTTCTCCTGTGGTGTCTGTGTGGAGCGTGCCACACACCCACTCCACAACAACGACGGCTTTTGCTTGCATCTTCCAGTGTTTCTTCTGTCAGCAAGTTCAGCAAAGCTGCAACTCGTCTAGTGCCAGCCCAGAAGAACCCAGTGAAGAGAACCACGACTGTGAGATGGTCAAAATGACAAAGTCAAAGACTTTCCAGGCCTACCTGCCCAACTGTCACCGAACCTACAGCTGCATCCACTGCCGGGCACATCTCGCCAATCACGATGAGCTCATCTCAAAGGTCAGTGGCGACTCTAATGGACTTACAGGCAGTGTTGGGGAGTAACTAACTAAAAGTAGCAATGCTACTAAATTAACTACATTATTCAGCACTGTGATCATAGCTCAAGTTCTTTCAAAGTATTGTAGCTTTTGGAGTAACCACGGGATTTCAAGAAACACGAGTTGAGAAGAACGGTCCTCACGTAAAAATATTGATACCAAAATACTTAGTTAGTTCATACAAGTTGAGCATGGCGTTAGGAACACCAAGGACATGGGATTGATTCCTAGAGAACGCATTGAATTGAAAATGCATACCTTAAATGCCATGTAAGTCGCTTTGGATAAAAGATTTAAAAAAAAATATTTACCTAGTAATTTTACTTAATTTGAAAATAATATAAACTTAGTGCGGGAAAATGACAGCTCACATATACATATGTGTGCGTAATAAACTAGATTTGATTTTTCTGTTACCTTGCAGCATGCTGTAAGTCACGTCTCTGCTGTGGTTAGGCTGTTTTTGTGTCTCCTGACAGCCCCCATAATAGGTTTATCAGCCTAGCTGACGTTCCGTTTTGTGTATGGTATACTGCGATACCACACAGCAGACACTTTGCATCTTGTTTGGTGGATTTAGCAGGATATGTTCACACAGGAGGCACGTGCCACTCTCCCAGATGGCTAAGCTGTTAACGCTACTGCAGGAGATGATCCACTTCCCAGTATGCACAGCACCTGTCAGGATCAGTCGGACCCTCTTGTAGTTTAGACACGATCTGGGAACAGGTGGTTTGGTTAACCTGTTTGATTTCTTGTTTTCCAGGCTAAAGGGATTTGAAAATTAGATTCTTAAGATTACAATTATTCCTAAAGCCGGGATAGTTCAACCAAAAATGAAAAGTCTGTCATTTACTCACCCTCAAGTTGTTCCAAACCTGTATGAAGAATTCTTTCTTCTGCTGAACATAAAAGGAGATATTTTGGAGAATGTCGATAAGCAAACAGTTGATGAGACCCATTGACTTCCATAGTATTTTTATCTTTCCATACTATGGAAGTCAATGGGGCCCATCTACTGTTTGGTTACCTATATTCTTCTAAACATCTTTTGTGTTCAGCAGAAGAAAGAAATTCATACAGCTCTGGAACAACATGAGGGTGAGTAAATGATGACAGAATAAAATTTTTTGGGTGAAATATCCCTTTAAGAAAATATCTGATAACTTAAGAAGTTTTCTGGAATTCCTTTTTGGAACATTATCTTTAAAAAATTAAAAAAATTCATGAATCCAGCCACAGTTTGATTTGCTTTCTCATTTTTATAAGAAAAGAAAAGGTCTAATTAAAATTTTTACAAACAAAAAGAAGCCACGTCACATAGCTGCTTGATGGGTCAGAAATCTGAAGCTGTTTGACGTGTCCTCCAAGTTTTCATAAGTTGCCAAGTGATCCAGCAACGTTTTATTGATTATTTTGACCCGAGGAATGGAATGTTGGTTAACTTGTATTTCCATTACATATTTAGAGACTGTTGTTGTTGTTGTTGTTGTTGTTTTAAGGTCATAGATTATGTGGATATGCAGTCATGCAATCCTGTATTGTGTTAAGATTACAAAGAGGTCAAGGCTTAATGTACATACAGTGTTTCCCAGAGGATTTTGTGAGAGTATGGGGGCTGGATCTCTGTCCTTCTTGGGGGCCCGGGGGCATGGCCCCTCGTAAGAAAAAGTTTTTATTTTTAAATTAAATTCATCAATCTGGTGCACTTTGAGAGTTCAAAATTAAGAGCTCCAACCCATGTTCAGTCTGCAAATTGAACAAAGAAAAAAGTCTGTGCATTGACTTTGACTGAACTTTAAAGGGGAATCAACCCTCTTTTCAGTCATGATTTAGTGTCTCGGTCTACATTACATTCACACTGGTGTTATAGGAAGCCAAACAATTAGAATATAATAATAATAATAATAATAATACTGGTTTAGAAAAGAAATAGCCTATATATTGTAAAACAAATGCAAATGAATATTTAATAAGTATATAATTTTGTATTATGCTGCTATAGGGAAATTAGAATACTGTTGTCCTAACTTCTTCACTTGCAAGAGATAAACCCTTGAGCTTTTATTTTGACGGGAACTGCAGTTCTACCAATCTACCATTTCTATGAAAATGGGTTTACAAATGTGTCTCATTACAAATCTCGTGAAATGCTGTAATCATCTGCCCACAAAAATTTGGAAAATATGCAAATGTGAAAATAACTCTTGCCCGCTACGTTCCCAAATGCATGCTAAACTCACATGTAGAGATGGAGTATTTTACTCTGAACTGAGCTGTTCAGAGACACGGAAAACACTGGTTTCACTTTGAAACACTCAGTGCAAACAGACTATATAAACTTATTCAATTAAATCAGTCTTTTTTTGATATTAAGAAATACATTTCCATACGGTATATCTAAAATGTACTGTAGAAATGTATGAATCCTATGACCACCCAGTTATGGCTTGTAATGGTTGGTGATGCATTGCAATCTGTATATAAATACACACAAAATCTAAAATAAGATCTGTGGAGAGCAGCAGTCCCTAATACCATCCCCTCTTTACACGCAGATTAATTGACTGACTCTCTATGCGCCCATGCCAGTATCTTTTTTTGGACATGAAGGTAGACCAGGGGCAAACTTCAGGACAAATAATGGAATTTCACAGTAAGCAAAACAAAATTCATTTCAATCGGCTTCAGCTCAAGCTCCAGTGCGTTCATCCCTCAGAATCTGTTAGAAAGTCTCTTTTCCTTTATCCAGCAGGCAAGGATTGTTTGTGTGTCCAAATAAAAGTATTAATGCTCTTAGCACTTGAAAAAACACCACATGCTCTGTGTCGGTCTGGTGAAGAGAGGTTTTGCTATACTGTATGACTGCACTGGATTCGCCTGCAACCTCCTTTCTCTATCTCATCTCCTCAATGCCAAGAATTACCTCTAAGTTGATTATGTCATTTCGTTGAGGGTGATAGTCTGGGTCCAGCACCTTTATCCTGTAGCTACTCCAAACCTAAGGGCTCTTTTCATGGCACGCATCTTTATTTCATTAACAAATGGACCTGCTCAATGGCAGGTCGTATATTATGAAAGGTACATTGTTTCTGCGCTGTCATCTGTGAGGAGATTTTAAGGGCAAGAATTGACATTACACAATGAAAAGCTCAACAGATGTTCCTTACATATCCTGACATTTAGATGATGCCTAAATATGGCTTTGTTAAAGATGACCCACTTTATTTCAGAATGGAGGCCTTTGTTAGCACTTAAAAGTGGAAAATGTTGTGTTTTAACTGTTAAAGCAGGCCAATTTGTTTATGACGTACTTTCACTCTTCCAGCATGGCCACCAGACTTGGTGAGTCTTGCCATGTCAGATATCTTTCTCAGTCTTCTCGTTGTTATCTTTCATTTAATGCAATCATTCTTGACATATTAATTGTGGTGAATTCCCCATTGAAAGGATGCATAGCGTCCTACTAATGCATTTTTTCATAAACTAGGAGGTGAGCTATCATGATATCTTGCATTATGCTGTCACAAACCTGCCAAAAATTGGATCAACATTAGAAAGGATTAGCAGGCATGGCGCTAGCCAATAAAAAGCAGGACTTGCATGCTGAACTATTGGATTGGCATCAAACCTCACTGGCGGAATGCGGACAGTGTTGTGGAAAGGCTAAGCTAAGGCTTTGTCTGCAGTAAGTCATCGGCAAGCACCCTTCTGCCTTCTGACAGACACCCAATCTGCTCCGGAGATGGGACATTGGGTCGTATAGCACTACATCAAGATCTTTATACTTTAAGCAATCTTGTCTAAGTCCTTATACTGGGTGCCTCCAAAAAAATTGTCTTTGGAAGTTCTTGGAAGATTTGCATACCTAATCTCTCTGCTCCAAAATCTAGTTTGCAGAATTATAATGTACCATGACCATAGGCATAATGTTCCTGAATAATGCTTCAAAACAATGGCAGCATTATTATTTTACCTTGTGTAAAACATACCTTACCTGACCCTGGCCTGTACTGTACTGTTGTAACTCAGTTTCAGGGTGTTACCAATCTTCTTATAGCCTAGGTCAACTTTGTAGAGAGCAACAATTCTAATTCTCAAATCCTTAGAGAGATCTTTGCCATGAGGTGCCATGTTGAACATCCAGTGGTCAGTATGAGAGAATTGTACTCAAAGCACAAATTGTAACTCCTCTAATAAAAGATACACAAACTTGTATGGTCCTGTCAAGCAGACAAAAACATGAAAATGATGAATGTGGCTTTGCATGGTTAAACGACGTACAGCTATTATCACTTAGGGTGTACTCACTTTTGTTGCCAGCTATTTTGACAATAATGTCTGTATGTTGAGTTATTTTCAGAGGACAGTAAATCTATACTGCTATACAAGCAGCACATTGACTACTCTATATATATATATAAGTTTCATTTCTATAGTATTGTCCCTTGAGAAGATATACTAAAATGTTTGCTGAAATGTGAGGGGTGTACTCACTTTCGTGAGATACTGTATATTTTATATATATATATATATATACGTATGTGTATGTGTACACATGTATATGAATATTTATTTATTGCTGAATTTATTTACACTTATTTACATTTATATTATACATTTATTTGCCCCAAATTCACTAATAATATTTGAAAATAGAAAATGCATACCAAATATTTACATGGCTATTGGTTGATTTTGTAAGTAACACCAGGCAGAAAGATTTTTCGAAAACTGGTCAAAAATCGTCAGATTAATTGACCTAAACAATGCATTGCTCTATTATTTGTAATGAAGTTCCAAATGTAGAGTAGGTTCGGGAGGAGCCTAAACATTCAGTCCTGTCAATCATCATTACGAGCGTACTGTATAAGCACGTCATCCCATTGACAAATTCTTCCAGCAGCCCTTCTCCACTAAACTATCTCTATCCTCTTATGCACAATTCCATCATAGGGG